GTATCCCCCGCCTCTCGTTGTTTTTCACCAGCAATCTCAGCATAAAATTTTGAATAATATATCTTAACAAACAAATTAAACAGCTCTGATGAGAAAGGAATTACATTGGCAATATATCCAAATTATTGATTCCAAATATCGAAAATTTAAATTTATTTTAATGAAGTTTAGGGATTTAGTTGATGTGTTATGCTCCACTAATTATGTTTCGTAGATGTGTTGTGGTATGAAATTTTAATCCGAATATTTGTATCTATGAATCAAAATAACAAATTTAGCTAATCAACGGTGGATATATTATTCATTGATAACAGTATCATACTATTTAAATGATATGATGAAAAAGGAGAAGCTATCAGAAATGATAGGTATAATAATGCTGGATACTGTGGCATCGTTGTTAATATAGACATGTATCACCAAAAGTAGGCAAATGATAATTGCTCAAAAATAATTCGTCAATAATTATGGAACAGTTAGCATGTTGTTTTTTTTTTCTTTATTGCATAATTTATGATTTGATGTTAATTTTTTCTTTTTTTATTGTTAAAAATTTTGAAATCCAATTTTTCATTTCCGAAATTTTTTTTCTTTCTTTCATCGAAATCTATTAGCTCTTTTATCAATGAAATAAAAACAGCTGTATAAATTTCTTAGCTATTCGGTCTTACTATAAATATAATATCATTTCATGATAATTTTCCATTTCTTTCCTTTTTTTTAACTAATAAAAAATTGTTTATTACTTTAATTATGAACAATAATATAATAAAAGATGGAATAATATCAATGTCTGTTCCAATATTGATTGCAAAGTTGAAATGATTGCTATTTATTCAATATGGAAGAATCGGATGAATTATTGGAGTGTTTACTGCATATTCATTGATAACTTAATGAGGTAACACCTCATTTTCAGTTATAAATCACTTTTATAATTAATGTGGATTGCATGTTAGATAGATGAATAGATTGATAGCATTTCACTCATTACAGGATAATATTTCAAATTTAATTAAAAATCAATTGATTATGATAAGTGATATGATTGTTTCTATCTTCATTTTTACAACACACATTTATGGAATGTTAAATTGTCACCAGGTTTCTTTTTTTTTTTTTAAAGAGACGATTTGATGTATGGAACAGATGGAAAGAGCAATTTTGCTTGCAAAAACACGTAATGACTAAATGAGCGATGGTATAATTTAAAATCTTTGCTTTTAAACATTTTAATAACTGGTTGAAGCATTCACTCTCTCTCTCTCTCTCTCTCTTTTCTTTCCTCCTTCTCCCTCTTCCTCTCTCCCTTTCCCTTGTCCTTAAATTACAAAGTACATACCTATTGGATCCTGAATTTGTTTGAGTGCTGGATAGAATATAGCAAAATCTCTAGCACCATTTAAATTCAGTATTCCAACCGGATTTGAGTATTATGTGTTATTATTATCAGTCTTTCCTTACAACGATAAGTTGATCTATTTTGAATTTCAAATTGCATAATTTTTTAAATCCCCCAAGGTTTCAATCTTTTTAGCATCATTTTAAATTGCAAATAATCATTACATCATAATAAAATGACACTGTATGAAATTATAAGCTAACAATAACATATATTACACAGATCTTATCAATATTATCACTGTTACCATATTTGAATTATGTCGAAATTTGAGCATTTACTATATGATATCTAAATATTTCAAATTTAATTATTTTCTACCACTATATTTTGTTATTTGAATATATCTTTACCTTTTTTATTAATTTACCTGCTTATATTTTATCATACACTGCACAAATTGTAGCCAATATATAAATTCATTTTTTCCAATTTCTCTTCAAAATTTTTCTTTATGCTTTATCTTTAAAGTATTTTAATTCACTTTTCTCATTACTTTTTGATCAATGGACAACAGAATAAGTTAGACTAAAAAAGTACACCTCTTAAAGAGTGTATAATTTGGCTCAAATATATTTAAATGCAATCAAATCATGCAGTGCTAACTAACATATATTGATGTTTTATGCTTAGCAACCTATTCTTTCATATTATGTTAACACAAATTTCCTTCCCACTCTTCTTTCTCCTCTCTTCTCCCACTTTTTTCCTACCTTATTATTTTTGTTTTGCAATAAAAAAAAAAAAAACAATTGAAATATTTATGATAGATTTACTTTGAAATAATTTTATACCTATTCTATCATTTCCTTTTCTTTTTCCTTTGCTTTTTTTTATCCATCTAAATTTGATCATTTTTACTTTTCATTAATTAGTGAAGTATCAATGATAGCATTTATTGCTCGTAATTTTTCAATCTCGTTAACTTTAAGCTGAATTATTTTATATTATAAATCGTGAGACAATTGGTGTTGAAAAAATCTGCACACAAATTTTTTATCATTTTAATGATAATTATATTTATCGAGGATAATATATGTTTCGTACACGTTGACATTTTTAGATTTTAATGAGAGAAAAAAAAAACAGTATTAACACCGATTTAATGATTTAAATCCTTGGATTTGTTTTTTTTTTTACCATCAATTTTTAAATTTACAGTTTTTTGAATAATTTGAAATTTTAATCCGTTAGTGAATTAAATGGTAGAGGATATAATAGCATATTATGAACGTATTTTTTCCATTACACATTGCAAACAATGTAGAAATAAATTTATTTTTCATAAAATTTGATATTATTGCTTTCATTCACTTTATCAAACTCCTTGAATTTTCAGATGATAAGCTGTGAATTTTTTTTTTTTCAATCATTTCAATGAACCGTTTCTCTTTTTTCATCCTTCTCTCTCCCTCTGTTTTTCCTTCTCTTTATTTGATTTTAATAAGTTTTTATCTTATTAGTGGATAAAAATTGAATATAATAGATAAATGGTTTAAATTTGGATCATTTTTTAAGAAATATTTTACAGATATGCTTTCTTTAAAAAAAATATTTCATAATGATTTTAAAAATAACTCTTTTCAATTTTTTTAGTGATATTTTTATTTAAGACAAAAATCTTTTTCAATGAATTTCTTATTTTTGTCAAAAAATTTTTGAGTAGTATTTTAATTATTGAGAATATCAAAAAGAAAAAAAAATTATTAACTTAATTACACTGAAAGTTATCTGAGTTCCGTTTCTTTGAAGTATTACAAAAGCGTAGCTGTAAAGTGTCATCTATCAAAACTTAAAATAAATAAATGTTTCATTTTTATCAAAATGATATAAACTGAAGTGAACCTTTTACCGTTATTTCTGATAAATTTAAATTTTTAAAAATATATATATAGTAATAAAATTTGTGTAAAATTAAATGTATTGATTTTCAAAAAACAAAAATTAGAATGTAAACGTTTATAGCATTTCTTTCCTCTCGAATCATTTGTGAAATTTTACAAAATGCTTTGAAATATAAATTTAGAAACTTTTTTTTTTGTTTTTTGTGTTGTCTGTAATTTGAATGTTATCATCAGCATAACATTATGTTATGTTCTCTTTTCATCTATTCCTTTCTAACAGTACAGTTTTTATGTTGTTGCTGATTTTAATGTTCATTGATGATTAAGGGTTGAAATTTCGGGAAAGATGAGAAAATTTTAGATGCAATTGAAAGAAATCACATAGAATATTTCATACGCTTTCAACACTAATTTTAACTTATCACTAATCATTGATTATCCAATCAATACATTGAGAGTAATTATTATTATTGTGCAAACAAAGAATAAATAGACAAAGTGACTAATAAGAGTAGTTATAAATGACAAATAAACAAACTAATAAGAGTAGTTATAAATGATATAATGAGGATTTTATACTAAATGAATTATTATCTCATCAAAGTTTTTCTTTAGAATTTATTTTATCATAATTCATTGATAACAATGGAAGAATTCTTAAGTATAATATTTTTCATTTCAAGCTTTTCGTTACTGCTTTTCTCTTATTATCTATTAATAGAGATGTGTGTTATTGATTTAAACTCAGAATCGTTCAAATGATCACATTCTTTCTTATATTTTACGTAAACTTTTGAAATTATGGAAAAAGAAACTTGTTGAACTCTACAATAATCAAATATTTTTAAGGATTATCTTTTAGTTGATATTTTGGAAACAAATACTTGCAAATTATTTCATTTCATAATTTGTATTACGTCAACAAGGTTGGAAATTTATAACGTGTATTCATCTATCAATATTTAAAAAAAAATTTTGAAGAATGTTGCAATCCCAAACAAATTTCACCGTTAACCAGGTAACATAATTTAACTTGCATTACATTAGTAATGATTGAATGAATTAAATATTTAATATCAATCTAATACTGATCGCCATCAAATTATTGATATAGTTTTTAATTTGTATAAATTTTAAAAAATGTTTAAAATTGTTTCTAATTAGCGATTTTAGTTCATTGATCAGAATATGATCTCCAGACAATAACATTTCTATCTAGTTTTTCAGTGTTTGCATCTTCTTGTAGACAATGTGTAATATCGATTAAACGAATTAATTAATTTTAATTACTTAATTTTGAAATGTTATTCGCTGTAGATCATATCAATGCATCAAAATGATGAACATAAGTCTACGAATAATTTTATCCTATTTTAATATTTTTACATTGTTTGATTTTTTTTTGCATAAAAAGGAAAAAAAATTTAATATAAAAAACGATCGAAAAAATAATTTTTTAACTTTAATTAAATTTTATTGGCAAAGAAGCAGAAAAAACATTTTCTAACACTTTCGATATATGAACTTAACAAATCGAATTATTTGTACTCACCAACAATTCCAAATTTGACGACCACTCTCACTTTTGGTTTTTTTTTCGTCAACAAAGTATTTGGCAAGAAAATGGATATTAAAAATTGATTTATTTCTGAAGAAATTTGATAATTGATAAGACAATATAATACTATTTTATTGCATTATACTGAAAATTAAGCAATTTAAATTGCTAACTTTTTCAGGATGAATCGGAAAAAATGGAACCAACAGAGTACCAATTTTGGTGTTGTCAATGTAAAAGGAATGAAATAGACGATGTTGCAAGGATCAGCAACAATAATAATAATAATAATGATAATAATAATAATTCATCAATGTCCAATGGTTCTTAATTTCGTTGTCTTCATAAATGAAAATAGTATAATCTGAAAATTTTATGCAATTATTATTTATTGTTTTATTTTGAAATGTTTCTTTATAATTTTTGTCATCTTATCCTACATTTTTTTTTCGCATTTTAATTGAGTTACAAAAAATTCTGAATATGTTTGTTTATTTTTTAAAATTCCTTAATCTCTGAATTAGTTATGCAATTTCTGAATTAGTCTGCTCATTTGCAAAATTTTTCATTTTTTCTTAAATTTCATATAATATTTTGATTTTTAAATGAACATAAATATAGACGCATATATAAATAAACACACGTAAAAAACACGTGGAATATATGTGGAATCGTATTTACGTGTATATATGCATGGATGTTACATATATACACTTATACTTTTAGTGCATATAATGATTAGATTTAAAAATTTTACTTGAAAACTTTTTTAATTGTTTTATAATATAGTTTTATTGCAGGCATTGTGGTTACTCAGCAACCATTTTCCAACAATGAAAATAACTGTAGTTACGATGATTTAAGCTTTTCCAATACTGTTTCTGAAATCAAAAGTGGTTTCAACGAACAAAAGCATAAATTAGACGATGATAGTGAAATGAGAATCGAAATGAGAAGGTATATACTTAAAATTATTGAAATTATTTCAAATGACAATGAACAATAACGCTGATAACTATGATATGTGATAAGCCTGGAAAGATTTTAATCGTTAATTTTTGTATGGATTCAATTTTTATGAAAAAAATAATTTCCTTGTTGTCATGAAATAATTATTTTCTGTAACTGACATATGACAGCAAGGAAATCATTCAATTCGAATATTCGCCATATTTATTCTATGAACAAGTTGATTAATTCATATTGATTATCATCGTTAAGATTAAATTTTTAGACTGAAAGAAGAAAGTACTAATATAACAAGTATTTTACTGGATAATCTTATCAGTGAACCAAATAAAATAAATCCAGCAGAAGAAGTGACAACGAATGATCAAGAGGTATATCTAATTAATTTGATCCAGATGAAGATCAAATTTTCTAACATATATTGCTAAAATTAATTCCCTACTCGTATACACGAGTTAATTAACCAGTTAATTAGTTGCTTGCACGTACCTTAAACAACGATAAATATATTTCTGCCATTTGAAATAGAAACTGTAATATGAAAAAAAAAGTTGAAATTGGACAGTACTGGAAAAATTTAAAGATTATTCATTGAAAGTAAAAAACAGCTTAAACTAAGTAAATGATATATAAATGAAATTAGTAAGGTAATGTTTTTGTAATTTGCAATAGAATATTTGTATCAATATTTTATGACGAAATTTATCAATTCTTGAACTACATCCTGGAAGTGTAATTGGTAATGTTCAGGAAATAAAAAAATTTCCCAAACAACAAGATTCAATTGGCAGCGTGTATAATATGGAAGATATTGTCCTTTCGGATGTGGATGAAGAAGATCTGTGGGAATTTCCTACTGACAATAAGCAAATAACAAGTAAGCCTGAGCTATACGGAAAATGTAAAGTAATGATACTGTTCAAATCTGAAATAGTATTAAATTCAAAAAAATTTATTAGAAATTAAAATTTCTTCAATTATGGTTAATTGTAATTGTATCTGATATGATATGTACATTTCAGTCATTTAGGAATTGGTGATGATCACAAAGAGCAAGTTGTCCATCATAATTTGGATCATATTGCTAATTGTGATAAGAAAGAAGAATTCAAGGAAACGAATGATGTTTCAAATGTTTTTGGTAATGCTGAACACACTTCAGAATTAGAATCATTTCAAGAAAATTCCAACCACACCAAAATACTCGATATTAGGCTAAATGAAGCCACATTTTTGCACAACGTTGTTAGAGCCAATGATTCTGAAAAAAATATCGACACTTTTAGTAAATCCACAAATAGTTTAATCAGTTTTACCAATCGAAAACTATCAACCAATAGTAATGAAAGGGATGATCTCTCAATGATTTGTATTCTCGATGATGATCTCGTAATGAAGAAAGAAAATGCTCAAAATAGCAACATTTCAATGGAAACTGAATGCAAAAATGTATCGGTCTTAGAACATGATGACACTGAAGCAATTATACAATCAAATAAAATGTATGCTAATGATGTGTCAAGTTCATCATCAACTGATAGGGAGGATGTACCCGAAACAATCATATCAATCAAAAATTCTGAGAAAATTCTCAATATCTCAAAGAAATCCGTTAGAACGGATATTTCGACAACGAAATACACGAATGCAAAAGATGATAATACTACAGATGATGATAATAGACTAATAATCAAATATAAAAATGCCCCAAAAAATAATGATAGTATAAAAATGTTCACTGATGATATATTAAGTGAACGATTAATTTGAATGAATAAATGATAGGATCATTTCTTTTTTCCCTCATAAATTCCTGTGTTAAATTTGATTCATTTAAAAAATTTTGATTGTAATTTGTGAATAAAGCAAAAGCAATGAATTTTTTTTTTTTTAAGTATGCATGAAATGTTTTGTAAAAAATATAATGCATAACATATAAATTTTGTGCTATATATTAAAAAATATTTCCAATTTTAAATCTAACTATTATCAACTCTAACTAAACTTAAAGATTTGGACTGTAATTTTAGTTTTGATCATTTTAAAATAACCTTATACACTTCTTGCTTCAATGTTTTAATCACATCTGAAATATTCTTGTTCTTTTAACATCTGTTCGGATGTTAAAAGAATAAAAATCTTCCAGAAATCATCGCTTGAAATGAATGAAGTAAAATGTTGAGAAATTTTCCAATTTTTAGCATTAATTAATGCTATTCATCATTAATACAAAAGGTTTTTGAGATATCGTAAACATTATTGCTTTCTTATAAGAACGTCGTTAGCTATCTCAGTTAGCAAATTTATGGCGTTTGGATAATATTTGGAAGGAATAGTGTACAAGTAATCGGTAAGGTTAAAAAAGGTCGAAATGATTATTCGAGCTAATCATTTTATCAGTTAAACAGTGATCAAAATCACAAAGTTCGCTTTAAAAACTTCATAATCTTTACACTTTCCAACCCAATTCGTGTCAGTTTATCGCTATACCTATCATTTTGACTGTTGCAATGATATATCTTAGAGTTTCAAGGATTAAACTTAGAAAAGAATTTATACCATAATGTGAATTGTTAACTTTCTGCAGCATGTGCTGAAAGATTTCAAAATGATTGTTCTATGAGTGATCAATCATCTCTCTCTCTCTCTCTCTCTCTCTCTCTCTCTCTCNCTCTCTCTCTCTCTCTCTCTCTCTCTCTCTCTCTCTCCGTATGTGAGGTTAAATATTTATAATATAACGATGATATTCCTAATTGATTTAAGGAAATCGTATATTTTTATTATGAAAACAATTACGTGAATGGTCAAATATGGTTAAATTAAATATTCGGATACGATTTACTTTGTAAAAAACTATAATATTATACTTTCGTATAGTTTCTTCCCTTTTTCTCCTTTCCTCTTTTTTTAAAAAATTTTTTTATTAGGAGAAATGGCGGAAAGAATGGATGATGACTGATGATGACAATTCTTTCCAGCATTTATCAACCGGTTGCTGCGAATGGAAAAGAGAGCTCAAAAGGGGGCATTTACATGAAAGTATTTGTGGTATATGTGTAGATTTCGTTTCGTCGTTACTTCATCTTCGACAGATTTGTCGAATAAAATAATAATTTTGATCGCAATGAAGCAAATTATCATCTTCTTTCAACTTATCATTTGCTTCCTTATTCATTCAGTGGAAAATTATCGAACGCAGAAAGCATCACGTCGTACGTTAGATCATATCAAACAACTTATCACCCTGAAAGCACAAAGGTTATACATTTCGTTTAATTCAATTATTTATTTTCAGATAATTTCTATCAAAATTAAACATTAAAATTCTAAAATTAATAATGTTTAGTATTGTCAAATTGATATTATTTAAATAAATTCATCATTCATTATTTTAATTAATGAATTTTTCAATGTTGTAGACAGATCGGAAACATTGATGATACAGCATTAGCTGATCAAATAATATTACAACGAAAGAATCCTGAATCAAGACAAAATCATGATGAATTATCAATTAACGATCCGGATGCATACTATCAAGTTTGTTTCAATCCTAATCTTCTCTTTTACAAAGTTTTTATTTTTAATTGATAACTTCTGAAGTTATCTTTTTTTCTTTTTCTTCATAGACTGTTTTAAAGCAAAGCACAAAAAACGGAACATTTTTCCGTCTTACGTGCTGTGAAATAATTCATAATTGGATTATAACGGTATTTTCGGCATTAATATTAAAATTTTTTCGTTATTATAAATTGCAATGGCTTTCAAAATTTCGAAAGGAATTACATGTTAAAATTTCAAAAAATAAGCATTTTTTTAAAGGGTGATATTGATTTATCGGAAAAACAAGCCGAATTGCTAAGCAAACATTTTAAAAATGAAATTGTTTTGAAGGAAAAAGGCGATGAAATTACACGCCAAAAAAGGTATTGTTAATGGATTTCATGAATTTTTTCCAAGATTTGTTACATTTCAGCAACATAAAAAGAAATTTTGATTTCGATCACATTTTATTTCTTTATAAACAACATACACAATTAATTTGATTCAAATTCTATCAGTTTTATTCTTTCTTTTCTATCGCTATGACTAATCGACGTTTTTGTACGAAATTTACTTAATTGCACAAGCTACAATTTACGTCATCAGCTTTTTTAATTTGCCCAAAACCGGATTTTTTGCCCTCTTTCTAACACATACACAAAACTACATGTAAGCATGTGACGTAGCTGAATTTATTTTAATTTAGATTAAACATACGTTCAGATCCGCAAAGATTCTTGCTTGGCTTAATTATGAATCAAATTAAAATTACAAAATGAAAGAAAGAAGTACTTAAAGTGTATGAGAAATTACTGTAATAGCTTAAAGTTTGAATAATTAAAATTTAATTGTTCACATTTTTTTAGAAGCATTGGCATTGAACCGTTTTATGTGCGTTGGGATCGTAAGCATCCAATCAGCTATGATTTTGCGGAAACAATTCCACTAGAAACGCGTGCAAAAATTCGCGCAGCAATGAAAATGTGGGAAGAACGAACGTGCATACGTTTCCAAGAAAATGGTCCAAATGTGGATCGAATTGAATTTTTCGATGGTGGCGGATGTTCAAGTTTTGTCGGCCGAACAGGAGGCACGCAAGTAATTTTGGAAGCAAAATTTGTTATCGAATAATTTTTGATTTTTTTTTTTTTAAAATAAAATCATCAGTAATATAAGAAAAAAAGAAGTGGTAAAACTTCTAGATTAATTGATAATTTGAATTAATGTTTTCCAATAAAAAATTTTAGGGAATTTCAATTTCAACACCGGGATGTGATATTATTGGTATTATATCACACGAAATTGGTCATACCTTGGGAATATTTCATGAACAAGCACGTCTTGATCAGAAAAATCATATTTTTATTAATTACAACAATATTCCATTAAACCGTTGGAATAATTTTTTCCCATTATCACAATATGAAGCCGATATGTTTAATTTACCGTATGATACTGGTTAATTTTTTTTCTTCCATAATAATAATTTGAAAATAATATTTTCACTGCTATATATACTAATTGCATTTCAAAATTGGCAAAAATAAACTAATTCATTTGAAATTTTAATTTGAAAAAATTTTTCAACTATAGGTATTTTTTTTAATTTTGTTATGTTTATAGGATCAGTAATGCATTATGGACCATATGGATTTGCAGCAGATCCATACGTGCCAGCTATTACAACACGTGATAAATTTCACCAATATACAATTGGACAACGTGAAGGACCATCATTTTTGGATTATGCAGCTGTTAAGCTTTATCTAACAACCGCATTAATGATATTGTCATCAAATGGCTGATAATTTCAATAACTGTAAATTTGAGATCTCAAATGCTAACATTTGCTAAAATTCCTTCTCAAACGCTGATTGTAGTACTTCACAGTTGATAAAAATTGTTTACGCATAAAGTCTATCAGTCACAAAATTTTTCTGCTAATATTGAGCTAAAAATTAGTTTAGGTAGCAGAAACGAACATCGATAGATTAAAATTAGCTAATAGAATTTTTAAAAAAGTCTAGAATATCCTCAAAGACTCACAACTACTAATTCTCAAATTCTTAAGCTAATTAAATTTTTTGCGACTATCTACCGTGATCATGTTATACAATTAAAAATAATTAATTAAATGTATAAATATGTCTACCAATTAAAAATAATTAATTAAATGTATAAATATATGCTATTGATTGATATTCCTTTTTCGTTTGATTTATAAAGTTTGTTCCTAAAAATGATATTATTTTTCTTGTTTCTCATTGATATTTCAGAATATATCTTTTTAGATAAATATCGCTTATCGTTGTACGGAACAATGTGCTGATATTCATTGCGATCATAATGGTTATCCGAATCCTAATAATTGCGAGAAATGTTTGTGTCCAGACGGTTTCGCAGGTCGTACCTGTCAATTTGTTCAATATACATCTTGCGGAGCTCTTATTAAAGTATTGTTTTTTCACTTCTTCTGTAATCAAAAAAATTATCACGTCATGGGTTAACGGTATACTTCTCCCGTATGACACTTCTCCTATGCCACGGACTTAATTCACAATTTTCGAAAATGATTTCACACTTTCAGTTTTTTGCCTCTCTGTTTCTGAAGTAGTTCATCTTATCATCTTACCGTTTATTGTTACTGTCAATATTATTGTTTTGGCACTTGGTGCAACACTCTCTCTAATAATAGCATAACTATGTCAATTCATGTATGGTTAATTTATCAAATCATTTCAATTAATATACCTATTGATTAAGTTATCGATGATTGAAATTACTGAAGGAATCGATATAAGATTAAAGTCTTCCAGATTACTTAATGCTTCCGATAACATATGTTTCGCCGCGCTTAAATCATAAGCGCAGATTGTAATCTTTCCATGGTCTTTCATTATTTCAATCCTCTCCCTAGTCAGGTTCTTGAAGAACTAAACTAAGTTCATTGTTGAAACTATCACTCTATCATACAACTTATCAGACTTTTCCATTCCTATGCAGGGGAATAGGAATGGAAAAGTCTGATGAGTTGTACGATAGAGTGATAGTTCCTGATAAGTCTCTTCTTGTAAGTTCATTCATACTTCTAATTTGACTACCGTAACAATCATTGCTATTCGAGACATAAACGAAGCTATTTCAATAATATCAGGACGAACTCTTAGACATAGACTTATATAATAAGATTTTGAGCAAGCACTCTTTTCGGCACAGGCCTGTACAATAAAATCTTGATAGGATATTTCTACTTTTTAATAACACTTCTATAGATTTTCTCGAAGAAATTTCCAACCATTTTGAATTCTTCCCTAAGTGGAACCAGAATCACTAATTTCTGAAGTTATGAGAAGATAGAAATTGATTAAGAATATAACATCAAAAAAATCTTTACTCAGTAACATTAAGGAAGAAAACATCTTCATTCAACAATAGAAAAAAAACTTCAGTTAATAACATTGGGGAAGAAAACATCTCCATTCTCCAACATTAAAAAAAAATCTTCATTCAATAACATTGGGAAGAAAACATCTTCATTCATTAACATTAAGGAAGAAAAAATCATCCATACATTTTGATCATACATACATCCATACATTTTGATCATACATACATCCATACATACATCCTGTATACATATCGTGATAAGAGGAAGGGAAAAAGATGGAATGAAAAAATGAGAAGAGATAGAAAAGGGGAGATGAATAAAGAAAGAGAGACATATATTTTTAACTTTATTTTGCGATACAAAATTAATATATCGTCATTCTATGAAATATTCGTGTATTCTTCTATATATTCAACCTCGATAATCTGCGTGCGTTGGGCGATAAGTACCATTAATAATCGCAAGTTGGACAAGCTGACGACGTTTATGCTCATCGTCGTTGGTGCTAAGCAATACCTTAATACAGTGCACACCAACTGCCAATTTCTGCACGCAGCGTTCATGTGAAAAGTCTGTAGCGGTAATGAGCACGTGGAGAGGCTCCGCGAGGTGTTCCCAACCCGGACGATTGCGCAGACGAGCCTCACGACGAGCATCCTAAAAAGTTGTATCTTTAATTCAACTTCATAGATCATACGATTACTGATCGATATAAGGCAATAGCATTATAGGATGGATCAATCCCCGTCATTTATTAATTTATTTGGTTTGCGAGGTATAATCCTAGCTACGCTGTGATAGAATAACATGAGTGGGATCAAACAGCCTTACTTTAATGGAACCTTTTCCACGAATGAGAATACGACAGTGGGTTTGAGCTTCAAGTTGTTTCACCGAAATTCCTCGTGGTCCAAGAATGCGTCCAATAAATTTGGAATTTGGGCGTTGGGGAATCATAACTTTCTCCTGGATCGTGATATAAGACCCTTCTGGCTACAAAACATTTACAGAAATGCATGAAATCACTAAACTGCATTCAAAAAAAAAAGAATGAAAATGGAAAACATTAGGATAATAATTTCTGAAATTTTAGTTCAAAACAACTAATAGAAAAGAGAAAGCATGCGTTTAGGAATTATAAAATAGCATGGAGTAACACTAACCACAATTTGTTGCGAATTATTTACTTGCTCGCCACGTAGCGCACGCATATAGATAACGGTCCAAATGCGATCGATTTCGTTTGCAAGAAGAGCATAAGTATGATTAAGCTTGTTGGGACGAGTAAATTTGAGAGTATCCAACGTACGCAATTCTTTCACTAGTTCATTCAAATATCTGGAATTCCTTGGGAATCATTATCACTAGCTTCAATCAATAGGAATGTAAGCAAAGAAAAAGCAAGAAATAAGCGTAATAGAATTAGTGAGAAAAAAAAAAATTCCTGATTACCTTGCAATTTCGTACGGATCGTTGGATTGGGTAGAATCGAAGGGTAGATTAGGATTGAAAGAACGAAGAGAGAAATCATTCATTACATCCCATTCCGGACGCCGTTGATCCGCATCGCCGCCATCTTCCGTCCGCTGCATCCTAAATTGGTTTAAGAATACAAGGCTACGCGCTCACTGAAGGTGTACCAATGTGCAACAATGTTTGGTTCGCTTGTCACTTCTGCTTTTATACGTCTAATAGGATAATCTTCCGTGCAAATTTGCATATGCATTAGATTTGAATATCATCATATCATTCATTATTTGCCATTTTAAATATCATCACATCATGATTCATTAATTTAATTGATTTTTTAATAATTTTTTTAAAATTTTTCATAATTTGACTCTAATTTGAATTTTTTATTTATTTCATAATGTATTATATATTTTGAATCGTAATTTCTCCATATTATTTTGATAGATCTACATGAAAATAAGTAAAATCTAAAAGAAACCTCAATCATTATTCTCCAATTTCATTAATCTTTATGGTAAATATTTAACAATGAAGTTTATTCTGTCTCTATATTTCTTATTTAACTTGATAAAGCTATTTTTGACCTTTCTAACTTCTAACAATAAGTTAACCTATCCAAAATACTCTTCATACTTTTTTTGTATCAAAAAATTTTTCAAATTAAAATAATCTACCTCTTTGCAGTTTTATCTCAAACAGGTAAAGGCACCGACAACTTGTTAGGAGAAGGTGAAACTAATTCCAAGAACATTTCTAACTTAAAAGTTTTCAACTTCATATTTTTTGGAAAATATTTTCTAATGCTTTTATTTAGCCTTAATTTTGCTTCTTATAAAGTTTAACTTTGATATGCACTTAGTAGTAATTTCTTGTCGCAAAGGTATTTCTTTGCTTCCAGTTCCGTTTATCACAACTTACCTGAATTTTATGAGCTAATTCAGTATTATACATTTACACAACACCATTTACTAACAATGGCTCACTCAAGCTTAGTCTTTATTAACTCATCTTTTTAATTTTTTCGAAACTTTTAGCATTTAAACGTAATTCGACACCGATCTAGACTGAATTTTTAAACGAAAATTCCAGTTTTAGCTTGATCAATTTAAATCTAGCAGTAATGCATTTTGTCACATATTTATTCATTTATTGCTAAAATACGTTCTCTTTTTTTTTTGAAATATTTGCTCTGAAATTGAAATAACAGATAGAGCAGGATCAAAATTTCTTGAAAGATAGAAAAGCGATGGTTGGCAATATCAATATTGAAAGACATGTCGAAAAACAAACATCCATTGTCACAAAGTTTTTGCAAACTTTTGAAGAAAAAAACTGATAATTAAGTGTGGCAGATCTTCAACTTTCTTTCTGATAAAGAAAATCACGCGTAATCAGTTTCATTTAATTTAGTGACGTCAAATTGTTCCTATTTATAAGCTTGGTGTTATTTTTAGGCGAGGAAGATGCCTGTTACGATTTCGAGCCCAAATTATCCAAATTCATTCAACATCGGTGATCAGTGTATTTGGTTGCTTAAAGCTCTACCTGGTGGATTCGTAAATTTTCAATTTATTGAACAATTTCAATTACAATGCGAAGACACGTGTGATAAGTCTTATGTAGAGGTGAAAACTGGACCTGATTTTCGAATTACTGGATATCGGTTAGTAAAGAAAATAATCAGCAATGAGCTATTTCAATAATTTTTAATTTTTAAAATACATAACTTGGCAGAGGAAGTTATAAATTTAAAAAGGAGACAAAAGTGTTACAGATTCTGCAAGAGCAATCATTTGCTATCTTCATGAATTATAATCGTTAGATTTAAAATTCTTTTTCTATTTCGAGAAAATAAAGCTGCTTCTGATTTTATTTTTTAAATCTTAAATTTTAAATTTTGTAAAAGATCATTTCGAAACTTTTTTTGTACTTAATTTGTATAATTTTCACAATGCTCTTGTATACGCATCTTATATGCATGCTTGATTATACATGAATGCATACGCAAGAATGTGTCAACTTGTCATTTTTGAAACATAATTAATTATGCTTTTTTTTGGTTCCTATAGAATGAGAAGTGAATGATAGTTATCTTGTAACTTCTCAGATTTTGCTGTTCGAAAGCGCCACGCCATATATTTCAATCTGCTACAAATGAAATGTTGGTAATATTTCGCGGTTTTGGTGATACAGGAAATGGCTTTAAAGCTCAAGTTTGGTCGAATATAGACGATGAGACAGTTGTAAGAAAAAGTTTTGTTTGTTTGAAATTTTGAAATTATTTTTAATTTGTTAAAAAGAGAGAAAAAGTTTTGTTTGTTTGAAATTTTAAAATTATATTTTTAATTTGTTAATGTCAAAGAATTTTTCAGATATCAGTCGTACCAACCGAAATGACTGCAATTCCGGAAAAAACATTGGAGTTAACAATTCCAACAGTTGAAAATGTGACAATTGCAACAACAACGACAGCAACAACAGTTACTGCTTTCACGTACGAAAGAAAATTACGCAAAGAAGGCAATATCAGTATTACAAGCGGTGCCACTACTATAATTCCAATAACTACCGATATCATGATTATTGCCAATATGACAACTACGCCTGCAGTAATTGGAAGTGTCACTGAAGATTATAAGCAGTATCGTACACCACCATCACTTCCAATCGGAATTCAAAACTGTAAATTATTTCCCGTTTATCTATGATAATTTTAATTTCATTTATAGATCAAACTTAATACATCTATTCGTAAGTGAACAAATAATTTTCCTTAATTTTCCAAATATTTTAAGTAGAATTGTTATATTTAACGAGAACTTTTTATTCGAAATAATTTCGAATTTTTATTTCATCAATTTCGGAGAATTTTCTGGTTATAATTTTATTTCTTTTACATTTCTCGATGGATAGTTTCAGCCAAACGTCTTTTTATTTTTCTAAAGCATGACCATATCTTACTTAAAATATTTGGAAAATTAAATCAGTTTGCGAATGTGGTGAGTGGACGGAATGGACTGGTCCATGCACTCAAGAATGTGGCGGTTGTGGAAAACGTCTTCGAACACGTCAGTGTTCTTCAAACACAGAATGCAGAACGGAAGAAAAACGTGCATGTGCTTTTAACGTTTGTCCGTATGGGACTAATTTTCTTATCAACAATGGAGAATTTCACATACTTTGGAAGGTCAGTTATTATTTGATAGATAAGGTCAGACTTCGCCACCTGCTTATAAATATAAAATTTTTCACTTTGCTAAACAATGAAATTCAAATCAGTGCGTAAGAAGCATAAAGGTGAAAAGCTTGCACAGAATACAAATGATAGTCAATAAATAAGTGTTAAGATAGCGAGAATTTGAAGATACATTACTTTATGTAAAACAAATCAAAAGAATCGTATGTAACATGCAAACGAATACTTGAGGGTTGCTGCGTTGGTCTATTTCGATCAGGAGATAGCTGTTCGGCACTTGATGATAGCGAGAATCCATTTCTGAAGCTTCTGGAAACGTTGTTAAGCGTGCAAGATATGCAAAAGAATAGGAATTTGCCCGATTCGAAGAAACAATAATAATTAATGAATCGTATCACATTCTCTTTTGAATTTACATGTGTTTCATTTAGAAATTTGTTATAATTTCCATATCTGATGGCCATTTATTCGACTGCATTTCAACATTAAGTTTGAAAATTTTTTTGATGATGTGAAAGAAAAATTATGAAATAAGATTAGTTAAAATTCCAAAGGAAAAGGATGAAAAACGGAACTTATAGTGAGATAATTACAGTTTAAAATTGACGTATAAGTTTCTTTAATAAGACTAATAATTTGAAGAGGCATGGAATAACTATTAAGAATTTGTTGAACTAATATTCATCAAAAAAGTTAAAGGAAAAAGTTTCAAAAAGAAAAGTTAACATTAATCATTTAAGCAGTATGCAAAAAATGAGAGTTTTTATATGTTTTACACTTCATATATTAATTAATGATAATTTATAAGTTATGAAAAATGAAAGGAAAACAGCATATTTCTATTTTTTTCACTTTTCTTGAATTAATTCTTTTTTCACTTTTTGATGTTAACACGATGTTAATGAAATGAATTATTTAGTCACTTGTTTTTATATCATCAGTTTTTTCTCCGCTGACCTGAATACCTTCCCAGGATATTCGTCCTTTTTTTTTTCTTTTCCTTTTTTGACAACATTTTTCCCATGCATTTATTCAATTAGTACCGTTTCCGTAGTGAACTGGTGCAATATCTTTCCCATCATGCAATCAATCCACTTTGTTTTTTTGACTCATTCTGATGTTGACACAGTGTTTATGGACTTATTTGGTTATTTTGTTGTACCGGAATTAGAAAATGGTTCGAAAGGTTGATGTTGATGTAATTAGGTAATAAGAAGAGAGTTCATAATTTAATTTGCTGTTTAATGAATCAATCAGTTGATATTTTTTGCACTTAACCATAAATCTATTACAGTACAGGTCAAATATCTTATAAATTTATAAAGTTTCAATCACAATCATCTGATACATTTGCATGAAATTTATCAATACGTTAGAAAATTAAAAACACTTTAATATTAGACATTTGTAAGATGAGTTTTAAAAAAGAATCAAACAATGGATAAATTGAAGAAAGAAATGAACTTGTCGATTTCATTTGAAATTTTTCAAACTTATAAAAGATTTTATTTGAATACTTGATAGATTTCATTACAAACATTGGATTAATATTAAAGATGAAGTAGAAACATTCTCGCTTATCATCTTAATATATTTTGAAGGAGAAAAAAAATTTTTCACAATGTTTCAAAATATTTTAACCCACTTAAATTTGTATATCAAATTTTAAATTTCTTTAAAATCTTTAATTTCACTGTTAATCATAAATCTAGTTTGTGGAGTTTATATTGGCAGTATATATTGCATTCATAAATTTTTTAGCTCATTCTGTAGGTAAAATATTTTCGTGTAAGCGGTGTAAAATGATGCATCAGTTTTAAATAATGCTCTATTTTCATAAATTTGGAAGATCTTATCGATAATCGTCATCATCAATCTCTATATCATAATTTTTTATATTGCTAACACTTTATTACTATACCGTAATTATTATCGCTCTATTATTACTTTTCCTCATTATCATAATCATTATTCTTTTATCTCATAAAGGTTATGTTCATTGTCGAAGAATATGATCTAATATTATCTTAGTTTCGACTACATTCTTTAACTTCAACGATAATACTGGAAATATGAAATGGTTTCGGTATTTCGGCACTTTACAACTTGGATTTAGCTTAATTTGACATTAAATAATGAAAAGTGGGAAGAAATTGGAAGTGTATAGGAAGAAATTGCGAGTATTCATAAATGAGAAATGCTTATTTAACTTCATAAGAGGTTATTGAATCATATGTTCCTTTGAATCTCAATTGTGAATTAAAAATTACAACAACAACATTAAAATTACCGATTCCATCAATAAGTCATCATTCTTGTTATCAACACACAATTAATGTCAAGATAGTAACCAAATTTATTTTTATCATTACTTGCCTGAAATGTTAATCATTGTTATCATTATTATCAATAATACTATTAACGATATTAATATTAATGATACAGCTATACATATCACAATACATACAAATCCAAGGACATTAATGCATTGATATTGTTTGTATCGTCTGTAATATTACCATTTCATTATCAGTTATCAAAATCGCTGATATCATCATTGTGCATCTTTTCTCATCGTTTATCATTAACGAATTCAGCTAATCTCATAATCCAACAATTGATGCAAAGTTTTTTACCTAACATCGGTCAATCGAATAACTTTCGTTGGTGCCATTATCGGTGGCCATTCTGACAAAAGGCGTGGTCCATTTTTAATGGCGATCGGGAAGAAGACGATGATCATTATTTTTCGACACCCTTTTAACCATCATCAACAGACAGAAGGCATAAATAAGCAGCATCAGCAGCATCAGCAGCAGCAGCAGCAGCAGCAATACGGAGGAGAGTTGAAGAAAGCCGGTGCCGGTACCGGTCTGATAAATCAACCATTCCGCCTCCCTCTTTCCTCCCCTCCCCTGCCCTAATAGATCCCAAATGTGTGATGCATGCGGACAACTAAACAAATGGCTTGTGTTATTATGGCATTTCTAGCTGTCATATTAATATACCTATTAGTTGACAAGGTAAGATATAAATTGCTTAAATGATTAATGTATGAGAAATTTTTGATTGATTTTTGATTTTTCATTTTTTTTTCTTTGAAATAATTCAAGTAATGATATTGGTATGTCTGAAATTTCAGTAGTTTCTTGAGCATTCTCCGAATTTTGATGATAATAATAGACAATAGAAATTCTCGAAATTTAAGCGTTTTAATTTTTTTTTTTTTTTTTGTAACTGTTAGATTTAATATTCTGTTTTACATATCTTCAGGGATTTGGCCATTACAGTAGCCAAATAGAACGTATGCCAACAGCCAGTGATTTGGATGGTTTAGTGATTGCTGTAAAAACAACATTAAAATTTCATGAGAGTCGTATTCGTGACATAATTGATACATGGTTTCAATTAGCACCCAACAATGTTCGTTTTTTTATTCCTAATTAAATCAAATGTAATTCAATTAATTATCGCTAATGAGTAATATTACCAACTGTTTATAAAATTACCATATGAAAGAAAATAATGTATTTTTTTAAGCTTTTTAAGCCTTATTTTAAATTTCACCTCACTATGATGCACATTATTATGGAATATAATCCATTATTATGGATTTGCCATTAAACAATTTGAAATTCAGAAGTTCGTGAGTTGAACATACGGTAGACAGATAATAATTTGATTGTTGATTGTCAACTTCTTTCCCTCATATTTCATTTACAAATTTACTCTTTCATAAATGAATACAAATGAGTGAGACGAGCAGGACAATATTTTTCTATTCATTCTTTTTCTAATTTATTGTAGTTTTAAAATCTACATTTTAAATTTCACAATACTATGATTTAAGTTAGCCTTCTCATTTACTACCTCAATTTAGAAAAAAAGGCATATTTTTTAAAAGCTAAATTCTAAATAGTGTATTTTTTTTCATTATTAGAGCAAATGCAATGGTTTATCAAATATCTCGAAGGAATGTTGGAATCTCTTCTTAATTATGGATTCTTCTGAATTACTAATTTGCATTAATTATTTCTATTGAGCCAATTGATGCATCATGATGATATACATATTCATGTATATATACGATGTATACGATATTTATGGTTTGCAAGAACAAATGATCAGTTACCTTAATATATACTCTCACCTCTTCCTCCGAAAAAAAAAAAAAAACTACAAAAAAGTTTAGTTTTCAAATAGCAAAACTAAAAAAAGTGAACAAAAAAAAAAAGCGGAAAGATTGGAAGATGTCGAAAGTCATAGGAAATGAAAGATTTATAGAATGAATCAGAATTGTCAATAATTCTCAACAAACATTATTCAAATTCTTCACTGTTTATTTCCTCTGCTAGCTTATCCGACACATAATACGTCATTTATCTTTCTAAATTTTACAAAATTCTCAACATTGTTACAACAATTTAATGCATTATTTTTTTCCCGCTGCTTCTTTTCATTTAGAAATTGCAATATATTAATTTAGTTCACTATGTATAGAATTTTAAATTAAAATTTTAATAAAAATTGTAAAAGATTTCGTAGAAACAAGAAACTTGAAATTGTATATTATTCCTAATCTTAATTTTGAGTACACAAAGTGCTCATCATTTTGTTCCATATTATACAGAAGAGTGACAGTAAGGTTCATCATCTCTCATACTTCATCATTCATCATAAAAATGATCATTCAAAATTGTCAAAAAGATAAATGATGAGCAAAATGAAGTATACAAATTGTTGACCCGATGTGAACTGCATGTAAACAGATCGATATCTTACAATACTTTAATAGCATATTATCAGAAATTGATAATAATAGCATATTATCAGAAATTGCCATTTTCGGGGTTTTTTTCTTCCAATCGCTTCATCGAGGGGCGATTTAGAAATGCAAAAAAAAAAATAACGGCAAATTCTGATAATATGCTGTTATTATCAATCAGAATAACGGTGAATAATATTAATTACTCCAAAAATGGCAATGATCCAAATATTTTACATAATTTTAAGTAGCTTTTAAGCTAAAATAATAGAAAATTCATAAATTATTAATTAATATCCTAAATTTCAGATATATTTCGTAACTGATACACCAGATGCAAAATTAAACGAGATAACTGGTGGAAAACTAATTGTAAGTGATTGTAGCAACGAACACACCAGGTATTATTTTTTTTTATCATCCCTATTAGTTCTGATGAAGATTATTGGAGAATTTTTAATTGCGCAATCTATTTTGTACTAATTTTTCGAGTTTACGGGACTAAATTCATTGATATAATTAGCATTTTCTTATGATAAAACTTATAATCTAGAAATAGTTGTTGTTAGCCTTGCTTCTGATTTATGAATCGTAAAATTTAAGTGATTTTTTT